AGTACGCCTCCATTGTAAAATTTCTGAGGCTGGCAGAAGCTAAAAACATCCATGGTTTTTCAGCATGGGTCCAGAAAATACGTAACTGCTTTCTTGTGACTCAGAGTAGAAGCAAATGCAGTGTTTCAGAGGGAAGCTGACCCTCTGCAGAGCCACCTCTGCTGTTTGTGTACCTGCTCCCAGGAATGGGAGTGCAGCGGTGGCAACTTCTGGAGCCCAGAAGGGCTTTATAGCTCCAGCACTGGCTCCGCGTGAGCCCTTTCCCTCCATCCCCAAGGCCAACGAAGCCGTGCACTATGTACAGTGCATGAACACAGATGTGGGTTGAGTCTCTTGCTGCTGGCCTGGAGAGCATGGTGTCAGCAGAGCTCAGGGACCTTGAGGATGTGTCCAGGATGTGACCTGGATGAAGCTGCCTCCATGTGCTCATGCCCTGCCTGAGCTAATCTCTGTAATTGTTCTTTGGGAGCCAGGGCAGACCCAGCAGTGGTGGAACAAAGGAGAGTTAATAAATACAAATGAGTCCACTGGGTGGACTCTAAAATTTACCACTAGAAAATTTATCACCAGAAATAAGGGGACAGCTGTATTATTAGAGGTTTTCAGCCACACAGATTACCTCAGTGTCCCCTACCCACCGCAGGTGCAGATAATGGGATGCCTCCCCTAGAATAAATAATCGCTTCTACCTGAAATCAAGGACAGATGCCTGAACTATGGTTCAGCAAGTTATTTTATCCCAAGGCCCTGCACATCCTTAATCTATGACACATCTAAATACACTGAAAGGTTGGTTATTAGTAGGCAGGGAGTGTTAAGGAAAAGATGCAGTGTTAATTAGAGATACCTGTGCTAAGTGTACAAGTGGTGCAGGCTGAGATTGTGCTGAGGACCAGGGCAGTTAGCACAAGCTTCTGTGCATCCCTCTTGACAAACCCCACTTCTGAGTGCCTCCTAATTCTGCAAAATGGGCATTTAAATTCCCTGCCAGGTCAGCCATTCATCACAAGCACATTTAGACTTAATTACTGATTAATTTTCCCTAGATAACATAGATATATTTTTTTCTCAGTGTGTGAAATCTAGAAGAACTTTCTGAGAACCAACCACAAATGAGTTCACTGTAATTGGTGTTCTCTCACTTAGGTGAGAAGTAACAGTTCATCAACTCTTAATTAGCTTGGACTTTTTCGAGAACAGTTTCCAATTTTTTGGCAGGAAGATATACATCTTGTTTCTCCTGTAGCAATACAAAGTTATTTTACCTTGAATTGACATATCGGGCTGCATTTGTTGGTGTTTTCTTCCTCCTGAGGGTGAGTGCCAAGGCATGTCGAACCTGGATTGCTGAGCAATTTATTCAGTTAGTGTCGCTTGGCACCCAGAAAAGAACACTGATTATACAAGAAAGCAAGTTTGAGCTCAGTTTAATTAAATTGTGAATGGGTAGCTAGCAGTACTTGGAGCGATGTGTTAAGATATGGAGCAGCTTTTAGATATCTCATCAGCATCAGAGAAAATTTGTGGTTTGTGTCTGTAGTAGGTGAATGCCATTTCTCTTCATTGTACAGGTAGGAAGGCTGTGGCAAGACAAAAATGAAGCCGCCTCAGATCGGTTGGACCCTAAAAAGTGTCCTGCCAGGACAAATCCTCTGCCTGGCAGTTACCTATTTGGCTTGTGAGCCCGTGCAGGAGATGCTGCAGGGGAAGGTGCCCTTGCAGCAGGAGCGGTGATGCTGCAGCAGGATCAGCCCCAGGCCAGCTCACCGCTGGGCCAGCGCGGGCTGGGAGCTCAGCGCTGCGGCAGCCTGACGTGGGCCGGCCCCGCTGCGATCTCCTTAGCACAGGCTCCCGTACGGCGCTAGGGCAGGAGAGGAATGCTGGATGAGAAGCTCCCAAATAGCAAGTCATCGTCTTGCAGCCTCTCACCTGTTAGTGGAGTAGCCAAAATTCCCTGGAAGTGGGTGCACACAACTGCTGTGCTGGGGATGGAGCCATGGCTGTCAGAGGGGATACTTGAGCGCTTTGCAGCAGCAGAGCGGAATCAGGGTTACCGGGATGGCTGCTTCATATGTACCAGTAACACTTGCCAAGTTTTAATTACATACTATACAATTATGCAGTGTAGATGAGGCCTTTTGGAAAAAGGAAAGCTCTCACCTGTGTTAGCACCCTGCAGTTGATAGTGATAATTTTGTCATGAGAAAAAATTGCCTTGTGCTGCTGTCTTTGGGACTGGCGATGGCTGAACTGTTCGAGCAGGAGGAGATATAGACCCAAAGGAGTCACTTGAGCTGGGATGAGAGGCCCCAGGCTTTGCAGAAAGCTTGTCCTACCTTGAGAGAGAGCTTTGGCAGCTGGGGCAGGGGAGTAGGAGTTGGGACCTGGGGAGGGGGCAGGGGTCGAATCGCCCTTTGTCTTGAGATTCCACAGGAGAGGCTTTGATAAGCTGTGTAAGGAGAGCATGTGCTGCAGGCGTCTCTTTTCATTCAGCTGAGGTCCTTTAGCAAAGTACTTGTTGATGGGATCAGCATATTACTTTATTCATATTAGGAATCCCCCATTACAAGGTAATTTTACAGGAAGCTCAGGTGCCCTGACAGCCCGCTGGCAGCACACTTACACTGGCATCTGTAGGAAGAAATATGGTTGTAATAGGGAAGATGTAGAAACATGTACAGATCAGTCATTTGAGAGATGAAGGGATCCCAGTACAAATGTTCGGAGATACAAACTGCCAACCAGGTCAGGTTGAATAAGAATAAATTTCTTTCAAAAGTACACTTGAAAACCACAGTTTTTATTCAACATTTTAGATAACATTTTTGTATTTTCTGCATTAGTGATTAAAGCAAACTTTTGCTAAGACCTCGTTTACTTACAATCTTTTAAAACAACTTAAATAAAATTTTAAACTATTAAGCAGTACATGATTGTGGCTGGAGGAAGCCGGACTGTTAATGCTCAGTATCGGTTTGTGAAAATACCACAGAAAGTTTCAGTGTTAGCAGCCTGTTGTGCAGAGGCAGAGGGTATTTCCACTTGTTCGATGGGCTTGTTGAGTTTTAGCTTCATTCAAATCTGAGAAGCCAATGCGAGACTATTAATGTAGGAAAGCGTGTATGGCCCTTCCAGTCTCTGGAAGGCCCATGGCTTTACTAGTTCTAAAATTTTAGAGGTCTTTAATTGTAGTCAGTGCCGTTCCCTCAAAAAATACTTTATTTAATAAAGCTTTGTATGCATTTTTCAGAAGCTTTTATTTCTTTTTTTTTTATATGACTAGCACAGTGACATTAATTTATATACCTAAATACATGCTGTTTGATTTTAATTGAATAAGTTTCACTTCAACTAGTGCTTATCATACATCACCAAAAAAAATAATAGTAATTTAGATTTAAAGAAGTGTAATGATGTTTGCTTCAAAAAGGCCCTAAAAAGTACAAATGTAATTGAAATGAAAATGATTATTTGAATCATTGTTCCTCTCACTGACTTAAGTGATGATTAAAGTTGCTTATGTAAATCAATAAACTGAATCAGGCTGGTCCTGCTATAACTTCCCTCCTGTGCAGAGAGCCTGAAGGTAGCTGGCAGTCAAAAGGATGGCAGTACCTAAAGATGTTGTTAAGGGAGGAGTGAAATCTGTTGTCTTTACCCTGCTGTATGTAGCAAGGGTCACGTTTCTACGACCACTGGACATAGGGTGTAACACCATTTAGCTGTTTATAGCTAAACAAAAGTAGGATGCAGATCCAAATAAGCAAATGGGATGAGAACCTTGAACGTGATAATGTTGGCCTCAGTTCAGAAACACTTGGGTACAACCCTGTCTTTAAATGCTTTGGAAGATGTGCCTGTTCATGTCACAGCACTTGGTACTCTGGCACAGGCTTTACAGGCATCATCACTGGTGGCAGCCCTGCTCCATCCCACCAGGACTTTGGAAATAACATGTCAGGAAATAAGCGGTGAGGCAGGAAAGAAAGGCAGCTCAACCAGGTTGCAGAGATCTCTCTAAAGGCAACTTCAAATTGTGCGGAGGATTGTGGTGGTTTTGGGTCTGTGGAGACAACAGCTAGTCAGAGTAAAGCCACGTCCTCTTCAAGTAAATATGCGGCCCCAAAGAAGAGCTCATGCCTGCAGGGACCTTGTCTTAGACCACTGCGCTTTGTGCTTCAGACATGTATGTTGTACTGGAGTCCTGCTGGCTTCCCCGGATTATCTGTGCCTCGGCTGGGAATAGCAGCCTTCCGAGAATAAAGGAAATTGGGGGGGAGTTCTGTTTTAAAACTGAATAAGTCTTCTTCAGAAGAGCCCTTGCTTCTGTGTGATGGTAAGTGCAGGCAGTGCTGCAGGAATTCCAACCTTTCATGTGATGAAATGGAAAACTTCAGGTTATCTTCTGGATGAACTCTTTAACTTGCTTCGTACTGGTGTGGATGCTGATATTGATACACTAGTCTGACTCCAACAGCAGTCATTACAGGATAGACCTCCACTGCCTAAGCAGCATCCAGGTATCCTTGTGTGTTTACAACTTTTTCTAGTGATGTTTAACAAGTGTCAGCTTCTGTGCCAGAAGCAGCTGGCTCTTATTTCAGGGTTGTCTCGTAAGGTGTTGACTGACAATTGTAGCAAGTTACAGTTATACATAAGGAATGACAGTTTATGTGTTGTGTAGAGAAAACCTATGAGTAACACTGCGGCACCTTATGCACTCAGAGAAAAGCCTCGATTTTGGTTGTAGGTGAGGCTGCCAGAAGAGTTGGAGAGGGCCAGGCCATGGTTCTCTGGCAGTGGCACTGAGGGGTTCCTCCTTCAATCTTCTCAGCTAAGGCTCAAGATTGAGAGTGTGGGTAAGGTCGGTTGGAGGAAAAGGTCTTCTAGGGCCCTTCTGTTTTCTCAGGGCATTTGGCTGTGCTGCCAGACAGCATAGCCCATTGCGTTCCTGCTTGTCCAACTGATGCATCACCATCTCCTTTTTCTTCTCTCTTCAGGTTATTTCCAGGATTTGTTGAACAAGTCAGAAAAGGCCCTTTATGATGCTTTTCCAAGCATGTATGGAGAATTGTACACTCAAAATGTGAAGGTCTTCAAGGACTTGTACAGCGAGCTACGCCGCTATTACCGGGGCTCCAACATCAACTTGGAAGAGGTCCTCAATGAGTTCTGGACACGCTTGCTGGAGCGGCTCTTCAAGCTGATGAATCCCCAATACCATATCACAGATGAGTACCTGGACTGCATGGTGAAACACGCAGAGCAGCACAAACCCTTTGGGGAAGTTCCCAGGGACCTGAAGGTGAAGGCAACCCGAGCCTTCATCGCGGCACGCTCCTACGCGCAGGGCTTTCTAGTGGGCAGCGACGTGGTCAAAAAGGTGTCTCAGGTATGTTGGGGTTCTTCCTTTTCCTCTATCCTCAGATTGGTAGGAGCCAGTCAACTACTGCTGCTGGGGACAGGGAGGTTTATTTCCCCTTATGTTTTCATTACAAAGTGAGCAGGTATTTTTCAGGTTTAGAAAACAAACTGCTTGAGGGTCACCCATCAGTGGAAGGGAGCAGCAGGCCTGGACTCCTACAGGCACTGATAGCACAGAAGTGAGGTATAACTCACCGCAAATCCGTCTTTACCTCATTTTAACCTGTGCAGCAGAGTGCCAAGGAGATGTCAGTCACAGCAGCTGTAAAGCCGTTCTATTGCTTGCCTAGATTCCTCACGCTTCCCCAACAGGGAAATGGCATGCCTCTAAATCACACTGCCTTATTTTCCTCCTTGATGGCGATATGATGTAGGGTATGCAGAGCTGACTCGCCACGAGTGTGCTGGGAATACACACAGAGAGATGCGTTTCAGCCGACGGTGATGGGATTGCTGTGTCTGTTTATGGAGCTGCATATATTGGTACAGCTTGTGTGTACAGAGAGGGCGAGTTTGTAAAGTGCATTGGGATCTTCAGGGATGAAAGGTGTTATATAAATGTAAATTAACATGACTGAATCCAGGGTTTCAGGAGGAAGGAAATTGTATTCTTCACTGCAGAAGCAGCCTTTCTGAGGCAGAAGGCAGCAATTGTCCTGAAACAAGATATTTAGGCTTTTCACACAGGTAGCAAGGACAAAAACCTATACTAAAAAAAATTATTTGCGTACAGCATGTGGAGATGGCAATCAGCAGGTGTGAGAATCAGGGTGTGATTAAACTGTGAATGTAAAAATACGGAATCGCAATTAATTTCCTCGGAAGGTGATGCGTGGTAATGTGTAGCAGAGGACAGTACTATTTGATGCAGCAAATCCAGACTTTGATCTCAGGAAGAAACATTAATGTGGTAATGGTGACAAATGCTTTAATTTATCAATGTGGGACTATAAAACTGTTCAGCTACCCAAAAGCCTTTGTACATGTCGTTAACATCACACTCTTCTGACAAGACAGATAAAAGAAGAGAATGATGTAATTTCAGGGGGACCAAAGTAAAATATTCTTCATAAATCCTCTGAATGGCAAAGATTTCCAGCTTGATGTGCTTGATTCTGCCTGTAGCCTAGTTTGGTGGGTAAAGCAGGCTGGCAGGGCAACTTCAGTCATAGTATCAGCAGAAGGGGAGGATCTGGGACACGGACATGCAGTATATTTTCCCCCCACCTTCACAGAGGCTTCTGACCCATTGGATTTTGACTCTGGTCACCGCTTTCTGAATTCACCTCCTTATCTTGGCATTGCTTATCAAATGGGATGTGGGATACATGACCAGTCACAGAGACTCCTCTTCCCTCTGCGCCCCCCAACCCATTCCTCCAGGATGGAGGGTCTTCCAGGAGGGTCTCAACCATTCCTCTCTCACAAGATCCCTCCCTGGGGTTGCAGTTAACCTGGCGTGTTGCTTTTGTAGCACAGCATGAACTGTGTCAGGAAACCTCAGCAAATCCTCCCTGAGAGGTGATTTTGTAACAAAGGCCAAAACTCGCCCATTTCCCTTGTCTTCAGGAATGGGTTTAGTACTTTGGGCAAGAGTTGGTGAGAATGCTGAGTTGGGAAATCCATTTTATGGATTCCCCGGTAGCCCTCATCTGTGCCTAAAACAAAAGGCCTGGTTTACCCCCTTTGCTTTACGAGATGTGGATTTACACTATGGCCAAACAGATGTGAAGTGCTGAACTCGATCCACAACTGGTGCTTTGGTTTCAGTCATTTTTCATGTTGCTTTATACTTATGATGTTAGGAGAAAGTGTATGAGACTTTTATTAAGATCAGAAACTGGAATTCGACTTCTCTGTCAGCTGTTAGCAGCAGTCTTTAAAAATAACTCTTTGAGCTGAAATTCCGTACAGAGCAGCGGTGTTTTGGTCAGGAAGTTTGAGAAAGCTTGTTTAAAATGGACACAGAAATAAATTACTTCGCTTTGGGCTTCTGAAAAATTAGATTACTTCGTTTTTATTTATTTGCAAATCCCAGGAAAGCTACTGATTTCTATTAGGACCCTCCTGGTTTTGGCTTCTCAGACACTTCCAGTTCAGTGTTTGTCTCCTGCGTCCTATTGCTATTTCAGGTCCTTGTGCAGAGTCTGCATTACTGGGCGTCTAGAGAAAGACTGGTGCTGTTTCCCAGATTTTCTGTCTGACTTAAAACGGGGAAGAGCCTGACCTGACTAAACTACAGGAGGGGATTTTGTGAGATTTTTTTAATTCCTGCTGCCTCTCCGCTGTGCCCAAGGGGTGTTTTATCCCCAGCCTCCATCTCCTGACCTCATAGGAAGCCATCACCTTGGGGTAGCCCTTGGCCTGTGGCTGGTGGCCGTGCAGGGGCAGGAACGGGAGCGGTGTGCTGGGAGCAGGCGCTCTCAGCTGGGGATAAATAGTTTGAGGGCAGCTGGGGAGAAAATGGCAAAAGCATTTTTCATCTTTACTGCTGTCCTAGCTTTTAAGGCAAGCCAACCTGACAAACTGCAGGCTCTGACGCCAAGATCTAAAGCTGTTAATGCCACGGTTTGTGCCACCAACCTGGCCCCGCACTGACAGCTGTGGAGGTGCTGCCATCTGCACAGTGGCTGTGGGAGGGGGCCCGGGGGTGCCGGGGCACACACGTGGCCGCTGCAGCTCATGGCAGCCCTGGGCAGAGCAGCAGCGTCAGGGATCCATGTGCAGGTCGGCACCCTGCCCTGGTCCAGGGTTAGGGGGGACTGATGTGCCACGCGTGGGTGGGGGTGTCGGGGCAGCCGCTCGCCGTTCACATTCAGGTTCTGCATTTCTGTAGGTATTGTTTCAGCACAAATTTCAGGTTTTCATTTAAGTTGCACAATGCCGAGCATGGTTTTCATCGTCTGCGTGAGGTAGCAGCTGCCAAAACAGCAGCAGCCACAAAATCCCTAGTGAAGGGCACATGGAGAAGGGGCTCCCCCAGGGATGCACACCTTGTGCTGCGTGCCAGGGCAGGAGAGAAGAAATATCCCAGTTTTGTTTAGGATCCTTTTCTTTGGTTATGAGATTGGCAGCTACCCAAAAATAGTATTTGCTGCAGCTCCAGGCTTCATGTGCACAGGTGAAGGCCTCGGGCTGGGAGATTCACTGCCTGCCAGGCACTTATTGCTCAGAGATCCACACTTGGGGCAAGCAATTGCCACGTTCAGCAACGAGAGCGAGAATGTGCTCCTGTGAAATCAATGGTGCAGGTGAATCGTAATACAGGGGTGGGGGAAGCAAAACTGAGAGGTAGAAAAGGCAAGGGCTGAGAGTTAACCCCTTATATAACAAGAGTGAAAAATCCTCAGAGAGATGCAGCATAGTAAACAGGAATGTCCTGGCTGGCTTTGTTATTTATTACTCATATTATGATACTGCTCAGGCGTCTAAGTCTTAGGTCAGGACCATTGCACAAAGCGCTGTGGGGGGAGGTAGCAGAGGTGATCCTGCCGGCCCCCGGGCACCCAGAAAGGGCAGCGGGACTGTGCTGTGCCCGTGCTGCACCGGCGAGCGGCCAGGAGAGCTGCCCCGTGCACGTCAGAAGATGTCCAGAGTCCTCAAATTCCCCTCAGAGACTTGACAAACTGTGAATCTTGGGTGAGAGCACAGAAGAAGTAAAGAAATAATGTTCTGTTTCCAAAGGCAGGGAGAGGAGGTGTTTTAAAACTCATTTTGCTCATCAGTCAGAAAGTGAGTTATTAGGACAGTCTTTCCTTTGCTGGATCTTTGTTGCTTCTTACTCTTGAATTTTAAGTTTCCCCACGGTAATGGGGATTGATGTGAAGCAACACCAGCTATGAAAGCAAGAAACACTTATTTAAATAATCAAATTTAATAGTTGTTTGCATTTCCTTTTCTCAGTAAATGTTCTTAAGGCTGATTCTCATTTGAGTTTGAAACAAAATATGATGATTTCTTTTACTGATTATAAGCTTTTTCACTAAATCCTATATTCCATTTTACCAATGAAGGTCGTTTATCAATACATTTTAATTTAAGCAGTACTGTGCCTCACAATACATTTCAGCCTTATTTTATGTTAGTATAAGGTAAATGGCAGCTTTCCTATTTGCCACGTGAATAATTTTTAAACACATGGTGGGTCAAGCTGCATTTGGATGGGAACTGAATTCCAATTAAAAAGGCCCAAAAATAGAGGTTTTATAAATGTTTTTAATAGTTAAGTGAATGTGCTCGACACATATGGAAAATAATGTTTATCTAAACATGCTTTACATTTCCAGCAAGTCAATAACATAACAAAGACAGTAGGGTCACTCCTGGTCCTCATGTCCTTTAAGACTGCAGCCGTTTCTCATACCCTGCTTTTTTCCATAGCTTGGAAGGACATAGTTGACTTCTGTCTTTCAGCTTCCAGTTGCTTTTTGGGTAAAGTAGGCATAAAATTGATCTGACTGAGGTGAAGAATATAACCTTTTTCACACAGTTAGGAAACCACTGTGCTAAAACAGCTCGAGTGCAGTGACCTCCTGTCCCACGTGCTCAGTGACACATCTCCATCGTTTTAGTGACTTATCTTTATTCAGAGCATCAGCAGCTAGTACATACAATTGTAAATAACATTTTATTTCATTTAAAGATTTCACTTTTGTAATAAAATTAAGCATTTATCTGAATTGGCCTCTTGATCCTGAAAAGACAATATTAGTGTTTGTAAATAGATGTTATGAGAATATTGTTCCATGGCACTGGCGAGTGGCAATATCCTTATATCACCATGTTTATTTCTTTTTCGCTGGATGTTATCCCACCTCTCGCTTTGGAGCTGTTCAGTTTTTTCACGCAGAGGTGTGTGTTCTTGTGTTATGATGATGGCTCGACGGCGGGATGCCGTTGTGCAGAGATTAGCTCTGCCCTGAGGAGCCATAAGGTGCCACAGTAAATTATCTCTCCATCTGGGAGAAG